GCTTGCCTGAGGCTGTGAGTTCATCGGGGCGGGGAGGCTGGCAGGGGGGACGGGGGACTAGAACCCTAGCACGCGCATGACACGCATGGGTCGTGCGTTCGTGTCTTTGCGTGCGTATGTGTGTTTGTCCCCCCTCCGCCTCTCGCTTCTCCTCCTCGCCTCTTCCTCCTTGCGTGTCCGGGAGATGATCGCGCCCCTCCTCGTCAAAGCGTCGCCGGGCCTCTGCCCGCGGTTCTCCCGGCTCCCCTTCGAAAGGCACGGGTCGCAGGGAACGCTGCCTGTAACAAGGGGCTGGGTGGGCGCGGCTCGAGCACAGTTCGCCTATAGACAAAACGGCCACCGGCTCCATGCTACCGCTGCCCCCTGCAAAAATGCACCCTCACTGGACTCACCCCTTATTCACACACTATGTACAGACTGTCGGAGGTTCCCGCTCGCCACGCAGTGGCCGATGCGGAGCAATCAAAGCAATGTGCCCTCATTCACTCAATACATTCACCCATTCGAATAGTTGACAAGTCACTACATGCACACGCTGTCTGCTTACGGCTGTGCGCCGGCACGGGCGCGCGCGACCTCCGCGCGCGCCTTGCACGCATTTCGTTGCTAATGCGCGCGCGAGCGTGCTTCTCAGCAACACCGCCGCTAATGGTGCTGCCGGCGCACTGTTTTCGCTGGTGGGAGATGATCGCACCCCTCCTCCTCGAAGCGTTGCCGGGCCTCTGCCCGCGGTTCCCCTTGTTGCTCGCTGGCGCGCTGACGGAGAGACGCCTGCGAGCAGACACTTTTTGCACGAGACGCCTGCGACCGGGCACCTCTCGTGCCACGATCGACCGAAACGCCAACCTCACCGAGCGACCCGCATCTCTGTTGGGAACACGGGGTCGCCGACGACAACCTCGTGGACCTCCCCTTCCGTACTGCGAACGCCTCCTCCGACTTGCTTTTTCTGCTCAGCCGGCCACTGCTTCGCCCGCGACCCGCATGCCTGCTCCGCGGCGGCAAACAGCCCCCCCCTCCCAAGAGGCGAATGCCTCCGCGCACCTCTCCTCGACCTCGGCCTCTACGGCCGCCTTGCCGCTAGCTGCTACTACATCTCGCAGTAGGGCCCTGAGGTCGGCCGACGAGGGCCATGGAGCGATGCTTCCTCCTGGGCCTCTGGCCGCGGCCACCCGGGAGGCTTCCGACGCCCGCTCGTCCAAGGCGCGCCCCACATACTTCCGAACGGTGGGCCTTCCCCACCACCCCAGGAGTTCGATTTGAGCCATGGGGGCCCCGCGCCTCGCGTAGTACTGAACCCCCACTCTTCGAACGGACTGTTCGGTGAGCCGCGCCGCGCCGGCCACTCGCCGCACGGTGGCCACGACCCCTCTTCTCGAGGGCGCGGTGCCCTGCCCTGACGGGAAGAGGGGGAACTTCCCGTCCCACCCTTTGCGCAACCAGGGCTCTGATCAAAGCGAAAAACCAACCACAGGAAGGGTGGGAATAATGATCACCCTAATCATTGCCATCAGCTCATCATTGCCTCATCGTCATCATCATCATCCGCATCACCACCATCAACACCCTCATCATCATCATCACCATCATCATCATCGTCATCATCATCATCATCATCATCATCATCGTCATCATCATCATCAGCATCATCATCATCATCATCAGCATCATCATCATCATCGTCATCGTCATCACCATCATCAGCATCACCGTCATGACCATCAAAACCAAATGATATTGTTCAAAACCCAAGTGTTATCAATCAAACTCCATCAAATTCCAGACAACACACATCCCCGAAATGTTACTGATCTAAAACCCCCTGATTTACACCCCCGCGGAGTTTTCTTGACGCAGAGTGGGATGCGCGGCGCGCCCCCCTCAGCAAGTACCAGTCCCGCGGCGCAATGGTCGCTCTTTGTGGCTCTGAGACCGAGGCCTCCTCCATTCTCAGTCGTCGCCGCGCCGTCACGGTCCTGAACTGTGTCGCCCCAACCATGATCTCCCTCTCCCAATGTCGGAAAGCAGAGGACCAGTAGTTGGCTCGGTCATGTAAGTTGCCGCGCTGGTGCCCGAATGCAGCCAGATCCACCCACCCGCCGAGGTCCCCGAAAGTCAAGCCCACCGGTGGCGATTATGGGCGAGTCCCGCCTCGCAGTTCTCTCGGCCACCCCCTCTCCTCTGGCTGCGGCTGCACGGGTTGGAGCCGTCGTGCGTGAATCGTTTGTTTCTGTTGCTTGCCATCTGCGTGTTCCTCGCTCTCTCTCTCGCTCCGTCCTCTCCCCCCTTTCGTCGTCGTTGTCGTTGTCGTCGTCGTGTGTGGCCACGCCGCATGGGAAAACCCGGCCGCCAGTATCGCAGCACGAACGCATCCCAACATCCGCCACGGATGTATCATCTTTTTGTGCATGAAGCCCGCAGCTTTAAAGCAGCAGCCGGCAGAGAGTCGCAGCCGATCGATGTTTTCACCTCTTTGCCAGTGCACATCTGCACGGCATCTGTTCTGCCGATGCGCCGTCGAGGCGCCTGGCTCCTTACTTACTTACTGCGTCAAGGTTTCTTCTAGCCTGGCTCTCGGCATGTTGCAGCATTCGCCCGGATGCAACTCCTGTGATGTCACATTCTGACCTTGCTCTGGTCCGAAATCCCTGTTCATCACGTCTAAGATTTCTTAATACCGCTTGATGTGGCTCAATCCCACTTAATCCGTGGCTTCATTTGGCGTAGCAGCCCTCCAAAGGGGCCCCACCTCCTTGAGCTTGTTTTTTTTATCCTCTGTGCCGTAACGCGCGTTATGCCCCCACTCCCCCTCCCACAACGTAATGCTCCCCCCCCCACCCCTTGTTGAGCGCCTCTGGCACTGCCATTCTGATGCTCGCTGGCTATTGTGGTGCTCGCAGTCTACTTTAATTAACGTTCACGGCCTAGCGTGGCGTTGTGTCGACAGGCTCATTGCCCGTGCTCGCAGACATAGTGTTGCGCCCGCAGGCTACTGTCGCACATGCAGGGTCTGGCAGATTTTGCGCACGGGCGCTGGGTTCACTCGGTACTCTGGTGCTGGCAGGGCCCCGAGAGTTGTGGTAGTGGGTGGCACTGGTAGCAAAAGCAGTGGCAACAGTCGCAGAAGTAAAAGTGATATCAGGAGGAGAATAATGAGAAGGAGTTCGAGGGGGGAACGGGGTGTCCTGGCAATCGTCGTCGCGTTTGTCTTGAGGTCGTAGTGATCGTTGTCGTGTTTGTCGTAACTTTTGTCGTGGTTGTTGCCGTCGTCGGAATCGCCACGGTCCTCGTGTTCATTTTGGTCGTAGCGGTATTCGTCGTCGGAGTGTGGTCGTCGTTGTGACCATCGTCGTGACAGTCGCAGTCGTCGTAGTATTCGTAGTCGTCGTGATCGTCGTCATCTTTTGTCGTGATCGTCGTCGCGATCGTCGTCGCTATCGTCATCGTGGTCGTCGCGGTGTAGTCGTCTGGATCGGAGTCGTCTTAGTAGTCGTTATGGTTGGTGCTGGTTTCCTGAGTGTGGTCGTCGTTGTTGTCGCCATCGTCGTCAAGATCGTTGTAGTAGCTTTCGCCGTCGTCGTATTTATATATCGTGGGTGGCTGTATTCTGAAAGCTTTCTGCACGCTGTTGTAGACGGCTGTTTGTGATGCACGCAGGCGCTGTCGTGCACGCAAGCGCTGTGGTGCACAGCACGCATCGGAAACAGGCAGTGCGGTACAAAATCGAGACAGTGTTGTGTTCCGGGGGCGGTCGAAGCAAAGTACTGTAGAACCCTTTATTGCGCAATGCAGATGCAACACAGCGGCGGCAAGCACCAGCATTGAGTAATGCTCGAAGGAAAGTGTGGAGGATGCAAACACGGGTCCTGCTCGATGGTGCACGCATGCGCTGCGCAGAACATAGGCGATGGGGTGCACGTGGTGCCGGAGCCACACGGCGGGGATGGGTCGTTACGTTATGTTCACCGCCCGCATCCACAACATGCGTTATGTTTGCGAATATTTCAACGCACTCCTCAATCTTGCCGACGAAGACCTCCCAGCAGTTGCCTTCTCACATTCGCGTTTTGATACCTCACGCTGTCGGGAAAGAAACAATGAGACAAACTTGGTTTGTCGGATGTCCGCTCGGATCTCTTGGATCGGCGCTGGACGTCCCTTGGCGGCGCCTCTGGCGCCGCCCCTGGCGCGCTCCGCGCGCCAGGGAGGGGTCCAGGGCCGATCCAAGAAATCCGCGCGTGCCTCCGCGATATTAAGTGTATGCCGTTGTTCGTTTCTTGATGCTGAGCCCCGATGTGCGTCCCCCTCCCCCCCCCCCAAGAATCTTCCCGCCTCGCAATGATGGAGGGCACCCGGAGGCGTCGGTACGAGCGCGCGCGCGCCCGAGGCTCGCTCCGGATTTCTCCAGGGACGGCCGCCGCCAGTTCCGTGGCTGCTGCTGCCCGCCGGGCGGGGCCGACCGCAGGGGGGGGGAGGGCAGGTCGCGGTGGGGCTGCCGCAGAGATCCGAGGCCCAGCCAACGTTGGAGCGGCCAGTTCTTGGCCGTGTTCGGTCTCCGCGGGGCCCTCCACGAGCCCCAGGACAGTCAACGCAATGGCGCGGGAGGACAAAGCAGGCGCAGGAAAGTGGTCCAGACCGCCGTGGGTCCACGCATGGACCAAGTTTGGTGCGCCGGATGTCTTGGGCCTCGTGGTGGTGATGAGCAGATGCCGACCAGGCTGCAGCTGCTCCCCCCTCCTCCGCTGCCTCCTCTGACCTCCTCTTCAGCTTCGTCCTCTTCCACTTTCTCCTTTTACTCATCTTTCAGTCCCTCGTCCGCCCTTTCCTCATGCTCCCCTTCCTTCTTGTTTCATCATCCTTCTCCTCTTCTTCCCTCCAGCCTAGCTCTCCTGTTCCTCCTCCTCCTCCTCCTCCCTCCTCCTCCTCCTCCTTCTCCTCTTCCCTCCTCCCTTTTCTCCCTCGTCCACCCGCTTCTCGTTTATCATATCCTTTCCCAGCAGGACAGCAAGCTGGGGGGTCCAGCCATCAAGGCGGCCAGCGCTATCGTGGACGGCGTCATGCCGAAGGACGGAGTACTGGGATGAGGAGGCGAAGAGTAGGAAGAGGAGGAGAACGAGGAGAACGAGGAGAACCAGGAGAACGAGGAGAACGAGGGAGGAGGAGGAGAAGAACGAGGGGGGAGGAGGAGGAGGAGGAGGAGGAGGAGGAGGAGGAGGAGGGAGGAGGTGGAGGAGGGGGAGGAGGGGTGGAGGAGGAGAGGAGGAGGAGGGGAGGAGGAGGAGGAGGAGGAGGGGGGGAGGAGAGGTGGAGGAGGAGGAGGAGGACGTGGAGGAGGAGGAGGAGTAGGAGGAGAGGAGGAGGAGGAGGAGGAGCCGGAGGAGAGGGAGGGAGGGATGGAGGGAGGGCGGGAGGGAGGGAGGAGGAAGGGAGGAAAGGAGGGAGGGAGGGGGGAAGGAGGGAGGGAAGGAGGAGGGAGGGAGTAGGGGGGAGGAGGGAGGAGGAGGAGGAGAAAAAAGGAGGAGGAGCAGGAGGAGGAGGAGGAGGAGGAGGAGGAGGAGGAGGAGGAGGAGGAGGAGGGAGGAGGGAGGAGGGAGGAGGGAGGAGGGAGGAGGGAGGAGGGGGTGGGGAGAGGACGAACGAAGAGGAGGATAAGTGGAGGAGGAGGGAGGAATGAGAGGAGGTTCGGGTGGGGCGGAGGAGGAGGAGGACGACGAGGAGGAGGAGGAGGAACATCAGCCGGAGGAGGATCAGGAGCAGGAGGATCAGGAAGACGAGGAAGAACATCAGGAAGAGGTGCATGAGGATGAGGAGGGAGGAGGAGGACGACGACGAGAAGGGGAGGAGTGAGAGGGAAGGGGTAGATGATGCATGCATTAACTAGTTTACTGTGGACGGCAATTCTTGAAGCTGTTTGGGCTTGATGGAGGCGGCGCACCCCCCTCCCGCGCGCGTGCCGCTCACGCTTCGGGTCCGCCCTGTGGGGTGTTGGCCCCCCCGCGCACGGGGAAGGGGCGAGCAACACGCGGAGCGCCCGAGGGGGCTGAGCGCCAAGGCAAGGCGTCGTTCGCTTGCTCCATTTCCCTGCAGCAGAGGCTCGCCCTCCAGCTCGGGGCCGGTGACGGCGGAGCGAACTCGGCCCCGAGGGGCGGCCCAGGCGGCATGAAGCGCCCAGCCTCCGCCTGCCCGCCGCAGGGGCATCCGCCGAGAGCGAGGGTGAGGCAGCGAAGGCAAGTGGCCCCGCGGGGGCGGAGGCGCCAGCAATGGCGCAGACGCGCAGGTCGCGCCAGCGACGAAGGACGGCCAGTGCAGGAGCGCCGCCAAAGCCCAGAGCCGCCATCGGGGGAGGAGGAGGAAGAGGAAGAGGAGGAGGAGGAGGAGGCGGAGGAGGAGGACGAGAAGGAGGAGGAGGAGGAGAAGGAGGAAGAGGAAGCAGAGGAAGACGAGGAGGAAGCAGAGGAAGACGAGGAGGAGGAGGAGGAGGTGGAGGAGGACGGGGAGGACGAGGAGGACGAGGAGGACGGGGGGCGGGGGAGGAGGGGGAGGAGGAGGATGAGCGGAGGGGGAGGAGGAGGAGGAAGAGGAGGGGGAGGAACAGGAGGAGGAGGAAGAGGAGGAGGGGGAGGAGGGGGGGAGGGGGGGAGGAGGCAGGTGCCATCGCCGTGGCGAACGATGGCGATTCGCCACCAAAGGGAAACCGAAGTCTAAGACCAATGTCGAGCCCATCTGAAACCGTCGTGAGTCTTGCGGGGACGAGCCGCTGCCTTGGATGACGGTGGTCGAGGACGATTGGTACAATCCGCTCTATGGAGTGGGCCACGAAACAGTCATGGAGGTGCGAGGTGCATGTAGTGCACGGCAACTCCCGCCACTACCTTATCCAGGCCATGGGCCGTTCATTCACGGTGGAGGGCAAGGACAGGGCCTTCGTGGAGGTTTGCTTCGTGGACGTCATGATGGGCGCAGGCGCCAACATTTTTGCGAGCCTACTGACGGGCGCTGGGGGGAAGTCGCTGGTTCTTTTTTGCGAGGGCGCTGCTGCCGACCTGCGAGGTGACCAACCCCGATGAGTGGCGCGAGCTCGCCCATGTCGACTCGCGCCGCTTGAGACCTGAACTCGAGGCGGCCGGGAAGGACACCGCTGCTCACAGTGAGCGGGCCGCTGCGCTCAAGGGCGGCCCGTCTGGAGGGGCCCACGTCTTCGGTGACGACGAGGACGAGGCCTCCACTGGGGGCGGCCAGCGCCCATATCTCGAGGCGCGCTTCCGTGAGCTGAGGACGAAGCTCCACGGCCCCGGGGGGAAAGCCAGGAAGCGCGGCACCGCTGGTGCGTCAGGGTGTGAGGGCGCCGACGTGCTCGCTGAGCGGCTCGAGAAGCAGCGGCAACGGATGCGGGACAGCGTTGCTGACGACGGATCGCGGCCGTTTCTTGGGGGACGTCGGTCGGGTGAAGAGGCCTGCGCGAGTTAGTCATGGCGACGACGAGAAAAATATGATCGACGGGGTATTCACCTGGCCCCTCCTCGGGCGGGCGAGTGCGATGCGCCCTTCGCTCACAGATTCCTGGGGCAGCTTCCACAATTGTCGATCGAGGAGGTCGAGCGCTACCTGCGCGCCCGAGGAGGAGCTGCGGCCTCAGATCGGATCCCGACGGGAACGACGTCACCCACGTACTTGACGACAGTCGTTCATTCTCGCCATCCGCAAGAGGCGCTGGGGGAGCTGGGGCGGGAGATGCGGGCGCGACGTCATCGTGGGCGACTCCCCCCGGGCCGCCGGCCTGCGCGCCCAGAGGTTCACGAGGGGCGAGGTCAAGGCCCAAGGAGACTGCGGGCGAGGCGCTTCGCAGCCACCGCGGCGAAGAGCTGAGCACCGCGAAGAAGGGGGCGCAAGCGATGCGCCTCGTGCTTCGCTCCGACACGAGGCCGGGGCGGAGGGCGCGGCAGTCCTTCACGGCAGCGCGCCGCGCGGTCGAGGTCGCCGCGATCCGGCGTGCCGCCGCTGCCCTTGCCCGGCGACGGCGGCTGCATCGGCGCGCTGTTCGAGCGCTTCAGTGATGCCGGGCGGAGCACGAAGGTATGCGGCGGGGATGACCGTTCGGGGGAGCGTAAGACCCGGGTTTGCCGGGACTCGGGTTCGCCACCGTTTTTTGACGACCGCGCCTCGGATTTTGACGAAAGGAGTTCCGTGGGACGTCTGCAGCGGGAGGCCCCGTCCAAATGCAGGTTCGGCCCCGTCACTTTTTTTGACGACCTCGTCGGGGATTTCCGAGTCCCCTGCACCCGGGTCTTATGCCCCCCTGAACCGTGACAAAATCGGATCGGGATAACTCGAAATCTCTGAGAATCGGCGGGTTTGGAGGATGTATTGGGCGCCGCGGCCGTTCCAGAGCGTTCCGGAACGCTCTGAGAGCGCTCCGGAACGCTCTGGAGCGATTTATCCCGATCCTGGCCCTGTTTTAGCACGAAGGTATGCGGCGGGGATGGCCGTGACTTCTGGCGGAGGGTTGGCGTCCGCGTCCTGGTCCGTCGGCGGGTCTTCCTCGCGAGCCACGTGCATGCGGGCCGCGGCCCCACTGGAAGACCTGTGCGCGTCGGCCGCGGGGGGGCGCGCTGCGGCGCGGCCAGGAGCCACCGAGAGGGAGTGCCGAGTGGTCCGACGCAGCAACCGCTCAGTCCGAGGCTCGAAAACCATCACTTCACTAATTTTAGGCCCCAGGGCCCACTGAGGCCCCAGGGGCCCCAGATTAGTGAAGTGATGTTTTTTTTCCCACGTAAGGACCCCGAAATCCATCACTTCACTAAACCGAACCCAGGACGAAAGTCAGGGGCCGAATTGCTGCTGTGATGCAACATCGGTCTCGTACTCAGGCGCAGTGCGAAAATGACGAGTGGGGTCTCGCCACCGGGCAGCTCCACGGCAGAGGGAGATTCGCCCTGGTAGAGGTGGGTCACATCGCCGTGGCCCGCGGAAAGGAGGCTTGGCAACGGGGCGTTTGGGGTCCGCGAGACGGGGGGCGTCCCGCCACAGCAGGCACATCAGCTCATGCTGATCGCGAACCTCGCGTCCGCCAGCGGTGGCCAGACCTTGGTTCTGGGTGGCATCGCTAAGCTGCCGCTCCCAGGAAGGCGCACGCATGCGGTGCTCTTGGACCTCGGTCGCGCTCTTCTCGGGGCGCGACGTCCCAGGCTGCTTCCAGATCTGCACGCTGCCGCCGCGCAGATGGCGCCTGTAAACCTTCCCCAAACCGTGCCGCTCCATTTGTTCCCACGGGAGGCGCGCGCTGAAGAATGTCTGCGTTAATGTGATCCCAATGGGGCGGTTGTCGGCGCAGCTCGAGTATCTCCAGATCGACGCCATTGACTTGTGGGGGAGCGTCAATCTGGCTGCCAGCCAGAGGTTGCGTCGTGACTTGCCCTTCCCGGTGCGGGAGTCAGTGGGGCAGCGATGGTGCTGGAGCATGCGCTCTGGCGATGCCGAGAAGGCCACTGCCCTCCATTTCCTAATCGCTCTCGAAGGGGGCCCATCGTGGCCAAAAGGACCCCCAAAGGCGCCTCAGAGGGCCCAGAGAGGGCCCCCACAAGGCCCAAGACAGCCCGACATGGCGCCAAGACGGGCTGAGGGACCCCCCCAGGCAGAGCCAGAAGGCACGCCCGGACCCCAGTAGCCCCTCAGAGGACCCCGACAGGCCGCCGAGAGGCCACCAGGATACCCCAAGATAGCCACAGATGGCCCCAACGACCCCCAGGGTGGCCTCAAAAGATCACGAGGACCCCCGTTCTTCGACGTTTTTTTTCTCGGGCTCCTTGCGGTTATCCGTCGTCGTCGCCCTTTTTTTTCTTCCTCCTCGTCCTCCTCCGCCTTCTCCTTCTCTTCCTCCTCCGCTTCGTTATTCGTCGCAATCGCCCTTCTCGATAGATTCATCTTCGTTCTCGCGCTTGTTTTCCTACTCGTTGTCCTCTTGCTCCCATCGCCGCCCTCCCCGTCACCAGCGCTGTCATCCTGGTCATCCGCTGCCTTGTCGTCGCTACCATCGAGGCGAGCTCAATGGACAAAGTCGGCGCTTCCC